AGAGTCTCCATGCTACATGAAGCTGATGGAGGCGTTGCAAATTGTTCTTGAGTACCCATTGTTTGGTTTGTTTATGTCATTAGGAGGTGGAATGTAGCGGGCCATCCAGCTGATATTTTTATTCATAGCTTTGTACTAGGAATCAAACCTATAAATGAAGTTAAGTTCCAAGGCATCCCTGTGTATTTGGCTTGTGGACTTGCCCTGAAACAGTACAGTGACTTTGAGATCCATTAATGAGCGCTCGGGCAAGTTAAAATGTTCCCCAACAGGTTTCTGTGTGTTTATCTTTTCGGATATCTGATTTGTGTCCCTTCATTCTTTCCCGTACAGACTGTCCACTTTGGCCAATATACGCCCTAGGATTGCATCGCATTGCTGGATCACAGTCATCCTGTGATCAACAAACACACACAGGATTTGCTCCTCCTCCTCCATAGCGTCCTACTGATGAGGCTTCAGCTGGTAGTAGAAACCTTATTAGACTAACTGCATGCCTTTGCGCTATTGAATTTCATCCCATTTCTGCCACTCTTGGCTTCAAGGTAATCCAGATCTTCCTGCATGATATTTCAGTCTCCCTCTGCATTGAGGATACCTCCCAACTTTGTTTCATCAGCACACGCCTACTTTTTGTGCTAAAGCCATTAATAAAAATATTGAGACTGGCCCAAGAGCACTCCTTGAGGAACTCCATTAGTAACCTCCAATAATTCTACTTTTAGCACAACCCATCGTCCCTGATTTAACTAACAGATTCCCAGCTGGTACCCAGACAAATGTTTTACTGAAGGCCAAGTGTTTTAGATCTTCTTCAGTGCGCTTGTCTAAAAACGAAACCCTTATTTTCTCAAAAGGCAGCAACTAGGTTAGTTTGGCTTCATCTCCCTTTGATAAACTCTTGTTGCATTACCTCCACTTTTCAATTTGTTCTACAGCCTTCCCTGCTACTGAGGTCAGACTTACATGTTGAGAAGAAAAGTGGGAAAAAGACGGTAAATAATCAGGAAAAGGTCGTTAAAAGAACTGAGAAAAATAGTTGGAAAAACATTGCGAAAAATGTTGGGAAAAAATGAGGGAAAGAATCAAATCAAATCAAGAAAAAATCTAGGAAAAGTAGAGAAAAAAGTTGAGAAGCTGAGAAAAAGCCAGTAAATAACAGGAAAAGATCGGTAAAAGAATCAAGAAAAATAGTCTTACAGGTCTGTACTTGGGTTGATCTCACCCCACTCACCTTAAATACAGGCACATCAACTTCTCTCCAGCCACATGGTACTACCTCTGCACAGATGGATTAAATAGCCTTGCTGCCAGATTAGCAATCTCAGAAACATTCCCCTCCCCAGGGTGTCCTTAGGTGTCCCTGCAGGAGCCCCACATATCACTGCCCTGGGCAGGGATTGCCAGGGGTGAGCCTGGCTGCACTGCTCTGTACAATTCGCTAGGGAGATTCCAGGAAGGGGGATAGCAGGAAGGGCTGATGTGCTTGCACCTTCTCCCCTCGGGCCTCTGTGCTCTATTCCTTCCCCCTTCATTTCCCGAGACAGCATATTTCCTCCCCCCCACTCCCAACCTCCAGCCCATGAGACAGACACGGAGGACCGAAGATGGCCGAGGAGATTGCCACCACCTTTATTTGGGGAAGTTAGACAGCCCATTGTGTACAATCAGGTTCTGCCAACAGGGGAGAGGGGAAATTCACAACCCAGAGTTGGTAACTGCCAGTGTTGCCTTGGCGATCGCTTCTGCCCCAGCTCCAGACAGGAAGCCCAGGTCCAAGGAGGCACCCGGCAGGGGAGGGGCAGCAGCACCCCAACAGGATCTGGAAGCAGCCAGCAGGGTTTTCACAAGCCGCTCCAAAGGGATCAGCATTCCTAAGCTTAGCCAGGGCAAAGTGGAACCGTTCCCCTAGAATGCTCAGTCTCCACCTGGCACTCTGGCAGCTCACAAGGAGAGCTCTGAGTTAATTAATGCCAGGTGTTAATTACAACTTTGGGTGGAGGGAGAGGAGAGACAGCTGAGTGCGGGTGGCAAATTATTCTGGGAGAGCTTCCATGGCAAGGGGCTCCGTGCAGCTGCCTGTAAGGGGGCATTTGGAGAAATTCAGGGGGCTCACCAGCACATACTGCGTGGGGTCTGCAGGTGGGAGGGTAGTGGAAAGCAAATCCAGAGGGGTAGTGTAAATTCGTGGCAGATCCCCAGTCCCTGGGAGGCCTGCACAGGTTGCACATTATTGAGAGGGGATCAGAGGAGACCGGCTTGTAGTAGACAGCTGGATGCAGAAGTGTCATGGGGGATCAGGGCAGTGACTGGAGTTTGGGTCTAAGGGAAGGGTCGTGCAAGGCACTCTCAGCCGCTGGCCAGGGAGTCAGACAGCGGCTGCTCTAGCAGAGCTGGCCACTGGCAGGGCACCAGCCTTTAGATGACTGCTGAAATCAGAGCCAAGGGGAGTGAGTGAGAGAAAAGGAACAGAGTTCAGTGCAGGCCTAGCTCCCCATTTCAGCAGCAGCAGGGTGTGCGAGTGTTGCTAATGGCACCACAGCAACCAAGGTCCTTTGATGGTCCCATCCACTCTCTCCCCCAGGCAGGACTGGCTCAGTCACTCACAGCCTGGGCGCACAGGAGGCAGAGACCGGCCTAGGGGTTAGCTCAGCTACAGCAGACCCTCCTCCCTGCCACACACACACCAGTCCCAGGGGATCAGATGTAGCAGGAAGAGGCCTGGATCAAAAGCTCTCGGGCCAAGGGGAAGCTGGTGACTCCTGTCCCAGGACTGGATTTCAAGCCACACAGGCAAACAGCAACTGGCCCCCCACTCCAAGAGAGACCCCCGAACAACTGGGGCTGCTCCATGGGACTCCAGCCCCCCAGAGGCTAAATATATAGAATGAGAACACCAGTTTGGGGGACTCCTAGCTCTGAGGCATTGGGGAGGAATCACATGGTCAGAGAGCTCCAGGCATCGCTGCCGGGTGTGCTCCCTTGTCAACTGGCATCTCGTTAGTCTTGCTGAAAGTCTCATCCTATCTGGATTTTTAATTGCATGTTAATGAACGTGGCGTGCTCTGGGCACTGCAGCATTTCCAGGGAGCTGTTCCCCCCGCCTAGACCCATCACACCCCTTCCTTTGGGTCAGTTGGCCGCAGGCGGCGATCACATGATCCGACACTGGTCGCCTCCAGCGCTGGCTGTGTCTGCCATGTTGAGTCCATCAAGGTCAAAGTTCAGTCCAGGTGGCTGAGGAAGGAAGAGGGAAAAAGTTAGCAATTTGGAAGCCCAAAAATTTGGTGCTCTGGGCCGGAGCCTCTGGCTGCGAGCAGAGCGCTCGGAGGTGCTGGACAGATGGCATGCGGGCAAGACGCTAGAACCCAGCAGCTCTGGCTCCCAGGCTGGCGCTTTTCCCCCAGCTTTGTTGCTGGCTCAGCGCAAGGCTACTCCTGCACATGGCGCTTCAGCGACTCCAGTTCCTTCCGCCTCATGCTAGGGGAGGCTCTGGGCCGGAGCCTCTGGCTGCGAGCAGAGCGCTCGGAGGTGCTGGACAGATGGCATGCGGGCAAGACGCTAGAACCCAGCAGCTCTGGCTCCCAGGCTGGCGCTTTTCCCCCAGCTTTGTTGCTGGCTCAGCGCAAGGCTACTCCTGCACATGGCGCTTCAGCGACTCCAGTTCCTTCCGCCTCATGCTAGGGGAGGGTAACACTCACGCACCCAGGAGCGACCAGGCCCAACCCGAAGGGCACTCGGATGGGAGAGGCTCTAAGCCAGCAGGTGGGACGTGGGCAACAGCAGTACAAGCTCCCCATTCATGCCTCAGCCTTCCTAGGTACCAGCTGTAAGGGTCTGTATCGGCCTCCAGCCAACCGTAAGCTAGACTGGGGCGGGGGTGCAGGTCAGCACCATGCCCAGGTTGCACTCTAGCAGGAAGACGGCTCAGTGTTGACATCAGTTACATTCCTGATGGAACAGGAATCCTGCTCCCCCGCTTCCAGCCAGGAGCATCCAAGCTGGTTGCTTCCTTGTGCCGGGCTGTTAGCCTAGCTGCCCGTCCCATACACTATCCAGCAAAGCATCATTATGGCCTCAAGCCATGCCTCCTCTGCATCCCTTGCACCCCAGCATGACACTAGCATTCCACCCTATATCGGTACCGGGCTTTTACGGACCTGTCTGCCTGCCGGAAGTTGCTCATTACTTGAATGAAAGGGGGCTGGGGGCTGTGCCAGCACTGACAGTCTCTTACAATTGTCTTACATAGACCCAGGGTGGGAGGGGAAACTGAGGCATGGAGACAGGAAGGGACCTGTCTAAGGTCACAGAGGCAGGAACAGAACCCAGATCCCTTGACTCATGCACCACTAAGCCACTAGCACGGCCATGAGCGCGGCTTTGGTAACAGCAAAGGCTCTCCAGCCTCGGAGCAGAGTGTAGCCATGTGGTTTTACAGCCTTGTAAAGGGTTAACGTACAACAGAATGGAGCAAGAGCGAGCCCCGCTTTGCAGAACAGCTTCCCGCCCACCCCTTGTGTTCCTGCAGCATAAAGGGAGGCTGCACTTACTCCTCCAGCAGAGCTGAGTAAGCTGACAACTGCCCCTCCCCGCTGCACCAGGTGGGGTGACCTTTTAGCTCAGTGCCTGGCCTGGCTCCCCTCCCAGACCTGCCGCTGCTCTGCAGCCTGGTAATCAGAGTCCCCAGCAAGGCGCTTCCATGGCCCTTTCCTTTAGCTGGCAGAAATCCAGCAGCAAAAGTGACACCCCCTTTCCCCGCCGCTGTGTTTCTCCACACGCCTCTGCCCCCACAGGGCTGCTAACATGCCATCCTGAGAGACATCGCACTCTCCCAAGAGTCGTCTGGGGCGCCAATGACACACAGCTCTGCCTGCAGATCGGGACGTTGCCACCTCGCCACGCAGGGATGTTGCAAGGCTGTGTCTGCAAAGTGCTCCGAGGTGCGACCAACGTGACTGTCAATAAAGCACATCACGCCACCATTCGTCCTCACTGCGCCGGCAGAGATGGGGAGAGTTTGGCTGCTCCGGGAGTGGTTTTAAGAACATAAGAACAGCCACACTGGGTCAGACCAAAGGTCTACCTAGCCCAGTATCCTGTCTGCTGACAGTGGCCAATGCCAGGTGCCCCAGAGGAAATGGACAGAACAGGCAATCATCAAGAGATCCCTCCCGTCACCTATTCCCAGCTTCTGACAAACAGAGGCGAGGGACACCATCCCTGTCCAGCCTGGCTAATAGCCACTGATGGACCTATCCTCCATGAATTTATCTAGCTCTTTTTTGAACCCTGTTAAAGTCCTGGTCTTCACAACATCCTCTGGCAAGGAGTTCCACAGGTTGGAAGGTTCCACAAAACTTCCTGTTCGTTCATTTGTTTGAAACCTGCTACCTATTAACATCATTTGGGGTGAATCTACACAGCACCCTTGCCTCAAAATAAGTTACACTATTTGCGCTATTGCATAGCTTATTTCAAGATTATTTCGAAATAAAACGCTATTTTGACAAATCCCTTAACAGGCGTGGAATGAGGGTTAAGGGATGCTGGAATAGTGCGCCTGTTATTTGGAAACATATTTTGAAATAATGGGTGTCTTTAAAGGCGCGGAACAGCTATTTCGGGATACTGGAGGTATCCTGAAATAGCTCCACAGTGCAAACATAGCCTTGGTGACCCCTAGTTCTTATGCTATGGGAACAAGTAAATAAGGCCAGAACGGTCTGTGGGAGGGGGAGTCAGAGCAGTGGCTCTACCCCACCCCCTAGGAGCAGCCTTGTGTCACAGTCTGGGTAATGCAGCGCTTAAGGAGGCTGGATTGGGCTCTTACATGGTGACATTTCCCTTCCCGCAACGTTATCAGCCGCCTTTAGGACTAGGGATGTAAAATCCCATTTAATCGGTTAACCAGTTAAACATCATGTTTAACCAGTTAATCGATTAAAAGGGGATGGGGGAACAGTCCATCCCAACTGGGTTGGAACCGCCCCCAGCTGGCCAGGAACTGCCCCCAGATGCTCCAACCCCCACTGTTTAACCAGAACCAGTAAGTCTCATGCTTTCCGATTAATCAGTTAACTTCTTACCCATTCACATCCCTCTTTAGGACCTGCCTACACCCTGGTGGCTGTGTTAAAGCTCTGACCTGGTACAACGCCAAGCCTCTGCAATCCACATGTGCCAAGTTATTTCTGGAGCAATGCTAGGGAGATCCTCTCCTGCATCCCTTCGCCCACCCCACGAAGCAAGACTAGCAGCTGCAGAAATGAGGCATGGTCAACATTTTCAATGGGAAGGACTCCCTTGCTGGGGGTGGGGGAAGGAAGCAAACCTCAGCAGGACAGTTTCAGTCTTGGGAGTGTGAAGGTGTTTGTGATTCAGCCATGTGAACACAAGGGTGAAGGGAACAAAGTCCCATCCAATCACAGCAGAACATGACACAACCCCATGGATTTTATGCAAAAAACAGGAAACTAAAAGCCAAGTCGCTGTTTCCCCAGTTAGCTCTCCACAAACTCTTTTCAGGCTTGGAGGACTTTGGGGAATTAACAGCTAAGCAGCAGTGGGCCCAAAGAGCAAAGCTCAAATCCCAGACCAAACAGACCCTATGGTTTTGTTTTTCAGGCACATCTCAGCCCAGCCGCTAATGCTAAGCTTACATACGAACAAACTCTAGGATGCATTCAGTACTGACTCCTGGGGACGCACTCTTAAGGCAGCCTGGATTCCTACTGCAGGGAAGCCAGAGGCTTCCTCACCCTGGAGGCCAGACTGTGCTATTGATGCTTGGTGCCCACCCAGCCCACACCCCAGCATGGGCTCAATAAAAAAAGGGCTAAGCCGCATGACCAACTATAAAAGGATTTTCCAAACAGTCTTGCCCTCAAATCCTCTCCCAAGAACCCCCAGCACACCAGGTGAATTTGAGAGCAGAACAAGCAATAGACAACGTAATGCATAATAGACAAAGTAATGTATATTTCTTCAGGCAGATTTTGGACAAGATACTGACAAGGGGTGGATGGGACAATCCATGTAATTTCAGAACTAAAGCCTGTCTAAGCATGTCCCAGGTGCACATCTCAGGATTTCAAGGCAAAAGCATCACCCCCTTCACCTGTGCTAAATGAGACTCTCCATTAACTTCCCACAGTGTAGTACTTATGACACAACTGAGCAGTTCTCATGCAACCCAGCAGAGGGCAGTGGTGCACCAGCCAGCTGATTAGAGCACCATCCCTGTTTCGGAGGGCTCAACTCAGCCATGCTCAGATTAGGAGGATCTTACAGCCAGCAAGAAACTGGACTGGGACTCCTGGGTCTTATTCCTGTTATACTTCCAAAGAAATCCAGCTCTCCTAGGAGAGGGAAAAGGTGCTAGACTGCAGAGTTTTACGCTGCCTAGAAAAGAGCTATAGCATTAGACCAATTGGCAGCAAAGGCAGGTGGAAGATAAGCAGTTAAGGGGTTAAAGATGCCATGGCTTGTGAAACATAATCCTCCCCACCCCCCCTTTTTCCCCACAAACTACAGCTCCATGGTCAGTGAAGGGTTAAGAGCAGCCGATTCGCAGGCACATTTCTGTGCCAGAGAACAGCTCCTGGAAAGAATGTTTTCCCACCCGGCATCAGCTGCTCTGTAATGCCCAGTTAAGGGGAAGTGCCAGGGGCTGATTCACGGCTGTTTTGGAAGTCACAGCTATTTCTAAATGTCACTGCGCCTGCTGCTCTAGCAAACAGACTGTTTTGGCTCCTGGGCTCTGTTAGTGCTGGGGCCTGCCAGTTAACAGAGCTAAGCCCCACATATGGGACTCCACAGGGGGCACCTTTTCCTCCCCCGCCCCCAAGGTAGCACTGGCAGCAGGAAGAGACTGTGCAGGATGAGAGATGAGCACGTGTGCCCTTGATTCTGACAGAAGTTTAGTGCACTGCTGGCTTCCTCCCCACACCCACTCCCTTGAGAAGCCCTCTTCTGCCAGGAAGGGTCCCGGACAGAGACTTCTGCAGGGGGAAGGCTGCAGGGAAAGCAATTGCTCCCGCACCTGGAGGCGACCAGCAAAGCGGAGAGCAGAGAGCCTCACTGCACAGCTAGGGTGTGTCTAGACTACATGCCTCCTTCGACGG